CCAGGACTCTCAGAGGCTAGAGCAGGGGCAAAGCCACCTAGTGCTCCATGTTTTACAATTTCCAAAGCACTTTTTATCTCAACCATCTATTTGTTTTCTCTAGACAACCCTGAAAAGGGATTGTCAGAACCGTCCCCGTTTCCAAAGAGGAAACAGTTTGAGTGAAATGAAAGGCTACACCCAAGATGGAGCAAACAGGGAAATCATGTCTGTTGAACATCTACTTCATGGCATTACCTTGCTGACATCCTCTCGCAGAATTCTCAGCACGGGGCTATGAGGAAAGTGTCTTTACCTCCCCATTTGACAGACAGGGAGCGGACAGCTTAAGGAGGTCAGGTACCCTGTGCATCCCTTCCTCTCTCTCTCTCTCCACCCAGCTAACAATGTGCCAGGGACAGCGAGGTGCCCCCAGGGGAGGAAGGAGACTCGAAGTTATTGAGCACTTACTCGGTGACAGGCACCGAGAAGAATCCTTATTAAACACTCCTGACCACCCCAAGAAGTGAGTGATTTGCTGGGTTAACACCACAGGCAGACCAGCGTGGTCGGCTTAGGAGGAGCTTTTGAATCCCAACGTCACACTCAGTGCGACTTTGGGCACATGGCTTAGGTTTTCTAAGCCTCAGCTCATCATCTCTGAAATGGAGATAATCGTAGCACTTTCTTCATTGTGTGATTTCAAGGACTAACCCAGATGAGGTATTTAGTAATAATAGCAAACGCATCACACAGACGTATGTGCTAGACACCAGGCTAAGGACTTTATAGACACGACGATCTCATTTACTCTTCTCAAAACCCTGGGTGTGAAGAAGCTTAGAATGGTGTCTGGTTTCTAATAAGTTATTATAAGGTCACAACTGTGGTGGTGGGGGGAGCCATGGCATTCCCTCAAGCCTGCACAACTCTGAAGCCTCAGCTGGCACCCCTATGGGATCCTGGATGGAGACCGGGGTGGGGGTGGGGTCTCAGGAGCAGGTGTGCAGGGGAGAGGCGAGCAGGGATCAAGGGCTAGGAGCCTTGCAGGGTTTTTCAGGAAGGGGTGAAAGTGAGATTGCAGGGAAGCAAGAAGAATCTGGGGCGAGCATGTGGGGATTCCAGAAGCAGCACGGGAAGGGAAGGACGGAGATGGGGCAGTGGTGCAGTCCAAGGAAGCAGTGTCTCGTGGCACCCCTGCCAACGTATTGCACAGTACCATGGGCCTGCTCTGCCCAGGCTGGGGGCTGAGCCAGCACGGTGCATTGTGTCATGCCTGGAGTACAGACCCCGAGTGAGCCAGAGCAGTGCCTGGGGAAGGCAAAACCTGGTCTCCGGGGACCTGTGAGCCAGCGTGGGGTCCATGCACCCAACCTGAGGGCAAGGAAAGCCACTAAGGGCCCAAAGAAGGCCCAGGCCATGGTTAGCGCAGCTGGGTAAAGAATGGATTGGAGTGTGGGTTGTCGGTACAAGACCAGGATGGAGAAGGAGGCGCGGAAGTATCTCACAAATATCAGAGACCAAGAAAGGCCCTCCAGCTCCCAAACCTGCTCTCTGGCCTGGTGATGGCAGATTCCAGAGCAGGTGGGGAGGGTGACAGGTATGATGCAATGTCCATGAGCAGGGAAGTTCCTCAGTCATGATAATGATCATTGCTACCATTTACTATTCTCCTACCTCCTGCCAGACACTTTAAATACTTTATTTCTAAGTATTCCATTTCATACATAAGGAACCTGGGGCACAGGGAGGTTACGTAACATGGCTAAGAAGTGGCTGGGCCAGATTTCAAACTGATTTTTCCAACACATGAATCTACCGGACATTCTCCAGGAGTTTAATGATCCTAAAACATTTTACTCTCTCTCTCTCTTTTTTGTAGATGTAACATACACATTTTGTACAAAAGAGGGTAAGTTTAAAAATGTCTCTCTCTTCCACCTGTCACCCAGGTCCCCAAGCTAGATGCTGGCAGAGCAACCAATCTCTTGTCCTTTTCTTGACATAGTCTATGCATTTATAAACACATTCATAAAAGTGAATATATATATATATATATATATATATATATTTAGAAAATGAATGTCCCCGATTCTATATACTGTTATATACCTTTCCCTCCCCACTTAATGATACATCTTAGAGAAATTCTCCATCCTTACATATAGAGATGCGTCATTTTTTAGAAACGGTGGCAGCTGCAGGCTTTCACTGCACGGAGGCACCAGGCTGTATTTAATTGATGCCCTATCTACGGACACTTCCCCTAAAGGTAGTTATCCCAAACCTTTTCAAATCTGATTTCTGCTCTGCAAGCTTACCTGGGTAAGGATTTTGTCACATCGAGTATTTCCTTACACAACCCCTGAAGGAAGAGTTCAGTTTAAAATAGATATATAATTTTAAGTTCTGGTAACTGTTTTTGTTGCTGCTGATAAAAACCTGGAACATTCCTACACCAATCGCTGTTGCTTTTTGGTAGTTGCCTGGTGTAACCATGATGATCACGTCCCAGGAACCAGGTGTGTAACCCTCCCTGCGTTCCCATCAGACAACCTGTTCCTGCACTTGCCTTCTTAGCATTGCCAGGGTGTTAACATTAGCATCCTCTTTTGGCAGAAAAGGAAACAGATTCAAAGAAATGAAACCACATGCCTATTTTTACCCAATCAGAGGTAGCTGCGCTGGGATTTAAACTCAGATGTCTACGAGCCACGATATTTCAGTTATGTCCACTCATGCTCTCCTTGGTGATTTAGCTTTCCCTCTTGAATCCTATCTTCCATCTTTTCTGAGCTGGTTATTCTCCATTAGCCCACTGGAACCTCTCTTTGCCCTTCTTGGCCCTGCACTGTGTACCGAGAGGCTGGGCACACTTGCTTCCTGGCTTTTAAGCCTGACTTCCAGTCTGACCAGTGGGATGAGAGGTGGGGAGAAGAGCATGGCCAGCTCTTCCATCCTTCTTCCTGCTCCCTCCCTGATGTTTGGCAGGCAGGCTAGCCCTCTCCTACATTTTCCTTCTCCTTGGGTTCCCCGAAAACTGCTCCCTCCTATCTGCACCCTCAGGCCAAGAGGTGATGACTGGCTTCCCACCATTGCTAAGCATCCCAGGATGCTTCCAGCTCTTCGGTTCCCTTTTATCTGTCTACATCTCAGCAAGTAGACTCTTCTTTGAACCCTTTTCAGACTCTTTACACATTCTTCTTTAAATGCTCCTGTTTGAATGACCAGGTGTTTCTTTTCAGGACTCCGATTGCTACATGTGGCCCCGCCTCACCCCTATTTCCCTTTCTCTTCTTCTGATGACCGAGAAGTTCTACAGTCTTGCCAAACCACCACGCTAAGCTTCTCTGTGTTTCTGCTCTTCAGGGAGATTGCCTGAAGTGTCACAGAATGCACTATTAGCCTTTTCATTTCTTGAGTAGCTAAGATAGGACAGGCACTCATGCCTTCCCTCGTGGGGCTTCCTGTCTAGTGACAGCTCGTGTCTCCAACTCTCTTCCTGACAGGGCAAGTCACTGGCCCCTCTGGACTGTGGCCTCCCACCACCAAGGGGTGGTGACTGGCTTCCCATGGTTGCTAACCCCAAGGTGCTTCCAGAGCCTGATGGTCTTCTAGATCAAGAAAGGCGTTTTTTTGGCATCTGCTGAAATAGGGGATCTCAAGACCACATTTTAAGCAGAGGCACTGTTTCTCTCTAGAACCCTGGAGAGTTCAGGTTATTGGAGGCCACTCAATGCCTCATTCAAGAACAACGGTCTCTTTCTGGCTAAAGCACAGACTCCCAGAACACCGACTAGACACTGTGGTTTGGCTTCATAGAAATCATCTCCATGGTGGCCTGGAGGTCACAGCCTGACTTGCTATGCCTTGAATTTCTTCTCTAACATGAATGGCATTTCTGGGCTGTCTGAATATTTCTATGTTTTCTGAAAGATGGCATGTGGCTGTGGATGCCACCATCTGAATCGAGGTCTGGTTGCTGACCCTGAGGGGATGGGGAGAGTTACACATTAGCCATGGCTTGCTTGCTCACTCCTTGTGTTTCTGCTTTGAAGTCAGCCAGCATTGCTTAGCAGACAGGTTTCCTGGTAAACTAATTGAAAAGCCTGTTTTCTCCTCTGGAATTTAATACTTTGGACTCAAATGAAATCTGTCATCACAGACCATGCAGATGTGTGTGTGTGTGTGTGTGTGTGTATTTATAAAATGGTATTATTTGAATGACTCTGTCTTCAGTCTTTAAGATTTTTGATATTCCTATTCCAGAATAAGTTTCCCCTTGACACTTAATACCCCCCCACTTGGAATCATTGTTCTCCCTATACCTTATATTCATTTTTGACTAAGCTCCTCCACCCCGAGCCCTCAGCAAGATCTGAGAAATAGACAACCAGGCAAGAGGTTCTTTCTTGAACATTGAAAGAGAATATTTCTAAACCCAAGAGAGGGGGTTGATTAAATAAATTATAGCACATGCATATACAGGACTATAATACAACCATCTAATATCATCATGCTGCTTTGAATTTACTAACAATAAATAAAATCATAACACATTTGGAGATTGAAAATAATCTCATCTTATTAAAAAATACAGAATTATATTCCCCAAGATGTCAATAGTGGTCACCTCTATGTGGTTGTGGGTAATGATAATTATCTTGTTTTCCTTATCTGTGTTTTCTAACTTTCTTCAATGACATGTGTTAGTTATGCAATTTAAGGAGGCTTATTATTTTTTTTTTAAAGAAAAAGAATGTTCCCAGATTATCAGTACATGATGATTACAATTATCTAAAAATATGTTATTGGAGATTGTTCCCATATAAACGGAAAGAGGGACAATTCATCCCCTGGCATTACTGAGGATAAACACCAAATCAGACCTCTCCAGCCCTCACATGCTGCTTCCTTTGCAGGGGAAGCAGAGAGTGGGTTGGGTCAAGGGGGTCTGTCCAGAGCTGCAGTGCCCAACAGGTGCCTGCAGCAGGTCCAAGGATCCCCGGTTCAGGGCTTACCTGGAACACACAGGCATCTCCTTGGGCCCGGAGCTGGCCCACGAGCAGGTAGGTGGTGAGTCCTGCCAGGATGGGTAGCGATACCAGGCAGCAGGTGAGAGCCCAGCGCACGCTGCTCCTGGCTGCCAGCCTGCCTCTGGCCTTGGGCGTGCAGCTGCCTTCCTCAGGCAGCATTTCCACACTGGCTGTTTCCCCGAAGCCCAGCCCCAGATTCTCCGCCATCCTCCTGCTGGTCCTGGAGCTGGCTCTGACTCCCCCTGGGCAGAGAGACCCTCCATTAAATAGAAGACAAGCTCTCACAGTGGGTGCATTAATCACTGCCTACTCCTCCCCCAGACCTCTCCCCTCCCCCCTCCACAACACACTGGGCCCCGCCCTGCAGGGAATGCACCGCCTACAACAGAAACCAAGTTTGGTTTAAAAAAAAAAAAAAAGAAGAAGAAGAAGAAAGCTTTCCCAAGCGTATTTATATACAGTGTGCTCATGTGCTCCTTCCTTCGTTTACAGAAGGAAGTTAGGAAAGTCCCTGGAGGAGGAGAAAAAGAATCCATCAAGTCAGTGGGCAGGGTGAATTAAAATATAGCTGTCCCTGCCCTGGAGGCCTGCCAGCCAAGCCAGTCGGGGGAGTATGCTGCTTCTGGAAGTGAAAGTGAAGGATGGGGAGGTGTGTGGTGTGGCTTGCAGACTGGGAAATAGAAATCATGTTTGCATCACCACTTTGCAAAATGCTGCCAGGCCCTCTGTCTTTTTGAGCTTCATAGGAGCTCATTTTCCTTGCACAGCCTGGAATACCGAAGTTCTGAAAAGTGAAGGCACTTGCTTTTGGCCATCCAGGGATTAAGACAGAGGAGCCAGGATGATGGTCTAGTTCCTCTAAATCTCTATTTGGGATTCTTACTTCTATTACACATCCACCTGTGAAAGGAGAACGCATACCTAGCCTGAGTTGACCAGTTGTCTAAGCAAAGAGCATGAGGTCATAGAGGTGACTGTCCATGAGGAGAGGACATTGACTTTTCGTCTCTGATTAATTCCAAGTTGATTGAGCACAAGTGATAGGCCTTGCCCACAGTTGGGTGTGTATGGGGGCCACATTTATTAAACATTTCCTCAGTGCCTGTCACTATTCTAAGGGAGTTAAATGTACCAGTGAAGTTATTCAATCCTGAGATAATCTTTTGACGTAATATTTTATTCCCACTTGACAGATAAGGACATGGAACCATAGGATTAAGACTCAGGTCAGCTGGCTCCGGAGTGTCATAACCATTGTACTAGGCTGCACGTGCTGCTGTGTTATGCACGTACACGGATACCCACACCCAGCGTGCCCAGGGAGAGGCCCTCCTTTCCAGTTAAGGGTTGGGAAAGCTTCCTGGAGAAAGACGTGGTATTGGAACTAGGCCTTGAAGCTTATGGAGGGTGAAGTCGGAGAAGAGTAGAGGACCTTGCAAAAAGATGGGTTATAGAAATAGGAAAACTTAAGGATGTCCTGTGGCATGTGGTGGAAACCAGTCCGACTTGCACCTCCATTCAGTTGCTACTTCTGCTTATTTCACCGCCTGAGCCTTGTGGTCTACTTGGAAAGGTGTTTCAATACCTGGTCCCTGCCCACATCACCCCTCCCCAGTGTCCAGCCTCATCTCTTACGACTTTCCCAAGCTGCAGTTCTCCTAAATGCATTATGGATTAGCTACACTGTTGCACATGCTTTTCCCTCCACCATGACAGCTTCCAGTCTTTCCCCTTCATATCACCATGCCCCCCTATTTTAAAACTTTGTATTAAAACCTTCCCTTCTTCGCCTGCCTCCAAGATTGGGTGAGATGCTCATCTTCTTTGTTTTTATAGCTTCTCATTCTTCCCCTATCATCAAATATTTCATACTAGACTGTGGCTGGCTACTTTTCTATCACCCCCATTAAGTCATCAGATGTAGGAGGGCAGGTGCTAAGTCCCATCCCTTCCCTATGGTTGTAGCTCCTAATGTAATGATGGTCTTAACAGACATCTGTTGAAATAAGCATCTAACATATTTCCAAAGAATCCAGCACAGGATGATTTTTATGTCCCTTGGTTACCCATTCTTGGTTTAACAAACCTAGTAGGAAACTTTTCTTTAAGACTAAACTAAATCTTTGCCACTGTAACTTTTAAACACACAGTCACACTTAATATCCGATCATCCTGAAGGAGCTTGCAAATGTGTTCTTATTCTTGTATTTCTTTTTTAGGAAGTTGGTATGCTTAATCAAACCAGGGTCTTAAAAGTGTTAGATGTATGGGTTCACATGAAGAAGTATATATCATCAGCCACAATATAAGAAGGCTTCAAAAGATGGGGAACACTAAAGACACCAGACTAGGGATCTGGAGATCTGGGATTTAGTCCCTCAATTGTGTGACCTTGAGAACTCTAGCAGACCCTACTCGTTTTAATGTACCTGGCTATCTACAAAACCTGGCAACTAAGCTTGTTATACTTCTGTTTAAAGTAAGGGTCAATAGATCCTGAGTTTGTGCCTAGGGAATGTCCTATGAGAAGAGAATAAGAGTTTTAGGGCATGAAACTATGTGCATCTAATTGGGATGGTTGTAGATGTAGATTCACATGTAGTTGTAAGAAACAGAACAGAGAGGTCCTGTATATCCTTTACTCAGGTTTCCCCAAAGGCAACATCTTGCATAACGAGAGCATAACATCACAACCAGGAAACTGACATTGACATTGATATTCAGATTCTACCAGTTTTATATGCACTCATTTGTGTATACATATTTAGTTCTGTGCAATTTGTCACATGTGTAGATGTGTGTGACAATTACCACAGTCAAGACACAGAAAAGCTCTGTCTCAAGGATCCCTCATGCTACAGTTCAAGCCATTGCTACCACCCTTCTTCCCCTCCTCACTTAACCTTTGCCATCCACCAGTCTACCTTCCAACGCAATAATCATGTTATTTCACAAATGTTACATAAATGGAATCATGTAGTCTATATCCTTTTGAAATTGGCTTTTTTTTTCCCACTCAGCATAATTTCCTTGTGGTCTGTCCAAATTATTGCATGATCAGTAGTTCGTTTCTTTTGATTGCTGAGTGATATTCCATGATATGAATATAGTACGGTTTGTGTAACTGGTGACCCATTGAAGGACTGCTGGGTTATTTCCAAGATTGACTTATTATGAATAAAGCTGTTATGAATATTAGTGCACAGCTTTTTGTGTGAAAGTGCCTTCATTTCATTTCTGGTGTAAATGTCTAGAACGAAATTGCTGGGCCATAACAGTAGGCACCTGCATAGTTTTGTAGGGAACTGCCATATTCTCTTTTCTAGAGTGGTGGTATCATTTTGCTTCCCACCGGCAATGTGTGAAAGAGCCAACATCCTCTCTGCATCCTCCCTCCAGCATTTGGTGTTATCACTATTTCTCATTTTAGCTCTTCTGGTAGGTGTATAGTGACACTGTGGTTTTGCTTTGCATTTCCCTAATGGCTAACAATGTTGAACATCTTTTCATGCACTTATTTGCCATCTGTAAACTCTTTGGTGATACAGACATCTATTTTGGCTGCTAAAAGTTACTTCTCACTTCCTTCTAGCTTCTCAGTGGATTCCAAGGCAGAAGGTAAATAGCTTACAGATAAATGACGAGTTATTGTGTCTGAGCGCCAATTATGTGCAAGGTAGCATTCTAGATACTGGGTTCTAGGTACTTTCTAGCAGTGACAAGAGCAGACAGCAATCTGTATGGTCATGAAGCTTATATTCTAGTGGATTGAGATGGCCAGTAAATAAAATAAGTTAAGTGTGTAGGGAGATAGGCAGTTACTTTAGTTACATTTTAACATAGGGTGGTCAGAAAAGCCCACCTGTGCTAAGAGGAGAATGAAGACCTCAGGTGAGGGAAGCCATGGGTGTCTGGGAGCAAACTGCTCCTGGCTTTAAGCAGTTGTGTTCCGGGAGCATGGGGATAGCCGGGAAGGCTGGAGCAGTGAGGGAGGAGGAGACCAGGAGCAATGAGGTCAGAACAGTATTGGAGGAGGTTCTGGGCTTCTGGGCATGAGTAGGACTTGGCTTCTCATTCCGTGTGGCGGGGAGGCTCTAGCACATGTAGGGTAGAGGAGTGGCAGGTTCTAATTTTGCCTCATAAGGATCATCCAGGCTGCTGTGTTGAGAGTAGCCCGAAGGAAGGGTGGAATCAGGGAGACCAGTTTGGAAACTGCTGCAATCATCCAGGTGAGGCAAGATGGTGGATCGGACAAGGTGTGGTGACGGTAAGGGTGACAAGAAATGGTGGGTTCCAGATATATTTTGAAGTAGAGCAGACATAATTTCTTTTTTAAAAGATTTTATTTATTTATTTGACAGAGAGAGAGAGAGCACAAGCAAGGGGAGTGGCAGGCAGGGGAGAAGCAGACACCCAGCTGAGCAGGGAGCCCGACGTGAGGCCTGATCCCAGGACTCTGGCATCATGACCTGAGCCGAAGGCAGATGCTTAATCAACTGAGCCACCCAGGCGCCCCGAGCAGACATAATTTCTTATCCAGCTGGATGTATGGTGAGAGAGAAAGAGAAAAGAAAACTCTGGGTTCAAGGTTCTTGGTTGGAGCCTTAGAAGGATGGAGATGCCATTAGTGGAGACAGGGAAGGAAGCTTGAGAGCTCAGAATCAAGATGTGCACCACTGAAGGTGACTTTCAGACAACCAAGCGTAGGTGACATTACAAGGATGCAGTGGATGATGAGTCTGGGGTCCCAGGCAGAGACTTGGTTGCAAAATTAATTTGAGAACCTCGCATGGCACAGCACCTATCACATAGTGCTCCAAAGTGGGTGCTCCTCTTGATTACAGGTCCTTAATTTTTTTTTTTAAGGATTGCAGTCCTTTATTACATTATTTTATTCTTTCAACTTTTTTGAATATCTGAAAATTTTCACAAAAAAAAATTGGAGAGGGAGAATATATTTTTATTTCTACTGCTTTATAGTACCCAGATAATCTAAATGTGATTTCAGGTCCTTAATTTCTTTTTTTTTTTTAAAGATTTTATTTATTTATTTGAGAGACAGAGAGCACGAGAGGGAAGAGGGCAGAGGGAGAAGCAGACCTCCTGGTGAGCAGGGAGCCCGATGTGGGACTCGATCCCGGGACTCCAGGATCATGACCTGAGCCGAAGGCAGTCGCTTAACCAACTGAGCCACCCAGGCACCCTCAGGTCCTTAGTTTCTTAATTCAAAATCTTTGGTGTCAGGTTTTGGAAAAGCATTAAGTTAAGCTATATGGAATCACCATTATCTGACCATTTTTGACATATAATAATAATAATTTCACATGGTTCAC